TTTTTTTTTTTTGAACAGGTACATATTTGGGGAGTGGGGGATAAATTCAGCACTAAAAATTTATAATCAATTGGCCTTTTAGTTCAAATATGTGATTAGTTAGTTTTAATAATCATGGTCAAGAAAGAAAATTAATTAGGTTTTTAGGGGTAAGTTGAGAGGGGCATGCATATAATGAAGCCACGGAGGTTAGGTCACTGATATTTTCCCCCAATTACCTAACTTGTGTGGATCCTATAGCGTTTAATTTTTTAATTAAGTCAAAGATTTATTGATTATTCACTTCTTCTTCTTTTTTTTATTTTGATTGATAACTCAATGAGAGAGAACCTCTTTGCATCTCCTTATATATTTCTATAAGTCTATGATTCATATATAAAATCTTTTATTTTTATTGAAAAAAATTATTATTGAATTTTTAAGGTTCACATTAAACAATAAATTTTGTAAAAAATTATTTTGGTGTAAAAGATATAAAACTTTTATAAACGGGCAAGAAGCAAACGCCGTGATTAACCAAGCTAATTACTTGGATAATTTATATATATGTATGTACCTTAATTAATAAATCAAGTGTTGGAAAAAGGGTGTGAAAAATCCAAAAAAAAAAAAAAAAAAAAAAGGAGAAAGGTTAATACAACAGCATCGCACTGTTTTATCGGAAACAACCCCGTAACAGTCCGTTAATAAAAGATCACTGAGGGCATTTCAGTCTTTCGCTAAATTAAATCATCCTAGGATGAAAAAAACCAACATCGAAGCCGAGACCGTCGCCGAACTCCGCCCTTCTCTTCCGCCATGTGACCTTTCTGAAACCCCTCTCTCTCACCATTTTTCTCTTTTTTCCCCTTTTGATTTCTTTAATTTTTAGTTCAAAAACTAAGTACCAACAAACCCATATCTCCGATTTCTTACTTTCCACTTCACGGCGAAACAGAAAGCCCCATTTCACCTGCTTTCTATCTTCTGCTGGAGGTTTTTGTTTGAGGTTTAAATGATCATCGGATGGCGGAGTTCATCCATAGACCCACGAATAACCGGGGGTTCTACGTCCGGATGAGACTGCTTCACAGAAGCCGGCCGCCGCCGGAGAAAAGCCTGTTCTTCAGATACTACAAATGGGTTCTCTGGATTTCTTTATCTCTGTATTTTTTCAGCTCATATTTCATCAGCCACAAACCCATCCCTCTTTCTAAAAGCTATGTAACAAACTCTAAATCTGTTCATCCTTCTCGGGCCTTATTTGAGTCCATCAACGGAACTCTTCAAGAATCCAAACCTGATCGAGGTAATCCCCATTTAAAGCTCCTGTTTTTCTGTTATTAATGGCTCTGTTTTTATCTTTGGAGTTGATTTTCTTAATATTTCCTTGGATCTACAGGGTCATTCAAGGATTTGAAGGTGTTTGTCTACGAGCTGCCGTCGAAATACAACGTTGACTGGCTCGCCAACGAGCGTTGCAGCAACCACCTGTTCGCCGCCGAGGTGGCCATTCACAGGGCCCTCCTCAATAGCGGCGTACGGACGTTCGACCCCTACGAGGCGGACTTCTTCTTCGTTCCAGTCTATGTTTCGTGCAATTTTAGCACCGTTAATGGGTTCCCGGCCATTGGCCACGCTCGTTCTCTCTTGTACTCGGCGATTCAGCACATCTCGTCGCAGTATCTGTTCTGGAACCGGTCTCAGGGCTTTGACCACGTCTTCGTCGCTTCCCACGATTATGGAGCCTGTTTCCACGCCATGGTAAACTAGAAACATTAATTGTGGAGTAGTATTTTAGAGAAATTCTTTGTGGTTTTTATTTTATTCCCTGTTCTTATAGGAGGACAGGGCAATCGCTGTTGGGATACCAGAGTTCATGAAGAAGTCGATAATGTTACAAACTTTTGGTGTGGAATACAAACACCCTTGCCAAGACGTTGAGCATGTCGTTATACCACCTTATATCCCACCGGCTAGTTTACGGAAGACTCTGGGGAAATTTCCTGTAACCGGCCGGCGAGACATCTGGGTCTTCTTCAGAGGCAAAATGGAAGTCAACCCCAAGAATATTAGTGGGCTATACTACAGCAGGTAATCTCACAAATCCAATTCATAATCATTTTCTACGTTGATGTAATCGTTATCAATTAAATTAATTACTCCGTAGAAACTTATACGTTGCTTTGTTGCGTTTTTTATTTAGGAAGGTGAGGACAGACATATGGAGGAGATATAATGGTGACCGGAGGTTTTACCTTCAAAGGCACAGATTTCCCGGCTACCAGTCAGAGATCGTACGGTCAGTGTTCTGTCTGTGTCCATTAGGGTGGGCCCCGTGGAGCCCTCGACTAGTCGAGTCAGTCGCCTTGGGCTGTGTGCCGGTGATAATTGCGGACGGTTTACGTTTACCTTTCCCCTCGGCCATACGGTGGCCAGAGATTTCCCTTAGGGTGGCGGAGAAGGACGTGAAGAAGCTAGGGAGGATTCTGGAACACGTGGCGGCAACCAATTTGTCAAGCATCCAGCGCAACCTCTGGGAGCCGGCAGTTAGGCGGGCGCTGATGTTCAACGAGGCGGTGGAAAAAGGAGACGCCACCTGGCATGTGATGGAGTCGCTTTACGCCAAGCTGGATAGGTCGTACAGAAGATCAAAAGTTTCTAGCCAATAACAAGATGCCACGTGAGATGCCAACTGCATTGACTCGGTTGACAGGTTACCTGAGACATGATGGATATTTTGAATAGATTGTGCTAAGTGCTAATGTACCAGGAGGTCCAGAATTCATAAGGAGATTAAGAATTTGGCTAAAATGTATACTGCAGGGGAGGTACAAGAATATGATTTTATTTTTTATTTTTTTGGCAGAAACCAACGGTAGAATTTTGCTCTGTCACGTGAATGTATGTTGTCTAGGTGGCAATTTTGCATTGGATGGATATGCGGTTCCTGTGAGAATCGGATTTATTCAGCTTTTCATTTTGTAAATTAGTCAAAAGAGAAATTTTGCAGTAAATAACACACCTTAATAGGTTTATTTTTTTTATTTTTTATGTTGGTCTCTCAACGGAGATAATTTTTTTTTATATCTTATTTTATTTTTTTTTCATGTCATATGATTTAAATTTATGACATTTACTTTTAACGAAAAAAATTACTGTTGAATGATTTAGATAGTTGATAATTCATTTTTAAGGTTTTTTTAGGTACTGTTTGAATTAATTGATTAAATGTTATAGTGGTAACATTTTTATTCACCCAATTAAAGACCACCCGCTAGTAGTTGTTTTATTACAGCTACAATGAACATTTTCGCCGAAACAAACCAAGTCTATATTACATTTGGAAAAATTTTGAAATAGAAGCAGGTAATTCTTCAAGCCCAGCAGTGACATTTGCCATGACATGGTATGAATTGAATTCATTTTAATTTGTCAACTGATGTTTGCAACGTCATATACGAAGGAAGTGGGGTGGGTCAGAAACAACAAGGGATGGAGTAATTTGCGGTTGTCAGGTTTCACGGACTCACAGGATATCATATTAATACGTTATTGTCACACATTACATCTTAAAAGATTAATATTAACTATAGTTAAGTAGTGATCTTTTTAGATAAAAATAAGAGATTTTGTTCTTAAAAAGGTAACTTAATTGATTAAAAGTATAAAATTTTAAGTTAGAAATCTTGTTTGAATTGGGTAAAAAGGGTTTTGAAAAAAAATAAATCTTATTATTTTTATATAATTTATCATTAAATGTATTAAGAATAAAAAATATGTATACCACAATAATATTTTTAAAATCTGATTAAAGTAAGAAATATAAAAATAAAAATATACTAGTGATATTTTCAAGTGATGTTACTTAACACACAATATACAGGACAAAGCGACGAGGAGTTTACATTCTGTACTCCATTTTGAAAATGGGAGTTTCTTTTTCTGCCACAGTTCTCGTCTCTTTCTTTTGTACCGTGTGCTCTATATATTGGTTAGAATGCCAACCGGGCCTGTAGCCCAATAGTTGCCTCCAAGCTTTAGGACTTGGGTGAGGCGGAGTTCAAAGTTTTAAGTTCTACCATCGCCGTGAACTCCATTAACTTATAATTTAATGGTCGCGCGCCTCTTCTGAGGAGGTGTATTGTTCACCATTCTGAGAAGTCCCAGTTACTAACAACTAACTTTAATAATTTCCTAACTATTATCTTTGTAAAATATATATATATATATATTGGTTAGAACAAATATTTTTAAAGCAATTCCTTTTTCGATGGTTTAGGGTGACAATAGTGACAAGTCACACAACCGTAGACATTACTATTATAATTTGATTAATGTCAATGGCACTAGACATGTATGGAAAGAATACTAATTACTGCTCTTATTTTTCTTCTTTAATTGTCATACTTTGCACATTTACAAAAGGGAATTCAAGGAAGGGTATTTTTAATAATTTAAGTGTGTAATAAATATATATTTTTTATTATAAAATTATATTAAAATAATTAATATTGACCTTTAATTTATTAATCACATAATTAAATTTTATCAACTTGACAATAACTTTAAAAACTAATGTCAATTTTTATATATTTTTTATATATGTTAATGATAAAAAAAAATACTTTTAACATGTGTGCTTAGAAAACCCTTAAAGAAAAAAAAAAAGTACAACAATTATGAATTGAAATACACATCTATCCTTAATAAAAGTTTCCTTCTTTATTAATGTAGTTTAGGGTAAGAAGGTAAATTTGAAATTGAAGAATTTAACATCTTCTATAGCTCTATTGTTAAAAAAATAAATAAATAAATGATTAAATAAAAATACTTTGACATGACATGTTAAGTAAAAATAGAGAAAATATAATTTTAAGATAAAAACTAGTTATCCATAACCTGTTACACGGGGATTTTGTTAGAAAGTTATTCACTAATTTGTTTTTTTATTGTTTGATAGTGACTTGTGAATAAATGATTTGTTGGTTGAAATGGAAGGAATTCAGTTCTTTTTAAATAAGATTTCGAGTTCGAATCTTGTGAATGAAAAAACAAGTATTAGAAGAATTTTTCCTTTTATAGGTCCGACCCAACTCGATTTCGAATTAATTGGCACCTAATGTAGTTTCCGGATATCGAAAGGTTAATACGAAAAAAAAAATTGTGAAACTTTTGATAGATTTTTTTTTTTCTAGTTTTCAAAGGAAAGAGGGGTTAATACAATGATAATACAATTATATTAGTTGCAAATTTAAATTAAAAAATTTAAAAGGTGAAGTTTGAATTTAAAAAAAATGACTCAATTAAAAAGAGTTTTTGTTATATATATTCAAATTAGACTTAAATAATAATTTTTATTTTTTGCATCTTATTGATAAAGTAATAATTTTATTTGAATTCATTTATTTTTTATTTTTTTCTAATAGAAAATTAACATTCTAATTTAAAGAGTAAAAAATATTAAAACATCAAAATAAGATCACAATTGAAATTAAATTAATAAATAAATAAAAGAATTATATAAACACTAATAAAATTTTAATTATTTTTTAAATTTGAAATTATAATACTTTTTAAATTTTAAAGACAACAAAATTTAATAGGTAGAATGGATTATAGTTCTACTAACCTTTTTTAAGACCTTTTTAAGTTTAATTTTGTGAACGGATCTGCAGTTTTGAACAGTGGGTGGTGGGCCGTGGTGCATTAGATGAGGATGGTATTGGGAATGGCAATTGTAAACGGTGCGGAGGTGGTGCCGTACTGCCTTGGTGGATTCGAAATTCGATGCTGTTAAATAGGGCGGTTGTGGGCTGGGCCCTCTGAGGGTGAACATCATGGGCAATGGGCATGCAGCTGGGTCTGGATTCTGGGCCTCCTTCGTTGGTAATGATATATATATATATTATCTTAATTATATAATGAAAGGTAATCATTTATCATTTTTTATCTCATTTTACTCTTTATGTCATGTGATTTAAATTTTGGTTAAACCTCTATTTTGGTCCCTCAACTATTAAACAGACACTCAATTTAGTCCCTCAACTCAAAAAATTCTTAATTTGATCCCTACTATTTACCATTTTGACCCCAACTTAGTCTTTCTGTTAAAAATCCAATGACATATCTTGGTGATTAACGGTTACATGATAACATGTCAAATTTTTAATACATGTGGCAAGAAAACATGACAAAAAGTGATGACATGGAGAAAACTAATAATATGACAAAAAAAAAATTCTTTCCTTTTTTTTTTTTTCCTTCTCTTTCACTTTCTCTTCCTCTTTAAAACCTAGCGCCTGTTGGGTTCCTTCAAACCCCGATGGAGCCTAGGCGCTAGTTTTCTCTTCCCTTTAGAACCCAACACTTGTTAGGTTCGATGGAACCCAAGCGCGGGTTCTTTTGAACCTAGGCGCTGGGTTCCTTAAAACCCAGCACGCCTGGGTTCAAAAACTCTCCATTTCTACCTCCAGTTGCTCAGCCACCATATTCCTCCCCACACAAAGAAGCAGAGGAAGAGGAGAGACCGTCATCGTCTTCACTCCATCATTTGCTTTTGCTTTTTCTTCGATTCTCTCTCTCTTTCGCTAAATTCGTCGTCGATTTCCTGTTCAAGTAAGCTCTCTTGATCGTTTAGCTTTGAAGCTTTGTCTTTTCAATTTGAGATTATGATGGATCGATTTATGTTTGGTTGATTTGATGATTCTATTGCTCGTTTTGATGTTTTTGTGTTATTGAAAGTGAGATCTGTGTGTACATTGACAATCTCTATCGTCGATTTTGCAATTTTAATTCATTCTAGCTTTAGTTGGTTTTAGTGATTGCTTTATTTGGTTTTTTGATTTGGTTTTTGGTCTCTAGATCTATGTTTTATGATGCTACTATTGGCTAGTTGGATCTGTTTTATTATGTTTGGATTCTAATAGTAGTGTTCTTTCGAACCCAGGCGCTGGGTTCAATGGAAACCAAGCATGAGGTTCCTTGAAACCCAAGCGTTGGGTTTGATGAAATCTAGCACACTTGTGTTCTTTTGAACCTAGAGGCAAAAAATAAAATAAAAAAAAAGGGAAGAACAGATGAAGAATTGATTGGAACCCAACGCCTGGGTTCGATGAAACCTAGCATGCTCGTGTTCTTTTGAACCCAGAGGCAGAAAAAAAAAAAAAAGAAAAAAAAAGGAAAGGGAAGAACAGATGAAGAATTGATTGATGAAGAAGGCAAGACAAGGAAGAGGAAGGAAAAAGAAAAGGCGCTTACTGAGGAACCCAGCATGCCTTGGTTCCATCGAAGAGCTTGTTGTTCTGGGGTTCGAATGGGAAGAACAGAGGAGAAGGGTTCAGTTTTTGCAGGGTTGGGCCCCACTTTTCTTTTTGGTTTGATTCTCGATGAGAATGAAACATGTCATATTGCCATATCATCTTTTTTCCAAGTTTACATATGACATGTCACGTTATTTTGACATGTTATCGTGCTCTTGTTAGCTAACGAGACATGTCATTGGATTTTTAACGAAAAGGTTAAGTTGGGGTCAAAATGATAAACAGTAGGGACCAAATCATGAATTTTTTGAGTTGAGGGATTAAATTGGAGATCTGTATAATAGTTGAGGGACCAAAATAAGAGTTTAACCTTAAATTTATGACTTTTTATTTTTTTTACGAAAGGATGTAATTATTAAATTATTTAGGTTTTGACGTTGATAACGGTGCATTAATCAATCAACATCACATTACTCAATCAAACATCGGCAACTCTTATCACCATGTGGATACCCTCCGATAATTACAAAATGACGGTCCAATCAAGAAAACAACAGTACCTCTCCTCTGCTCTGCTTATCCAAAAGGAAGCAATGGGAATTCTGGGCTTCAGAGTTGTAGTACAACGGGCCAAGGTGATGTTTTTTTTTTTTAACACGGGCCGAGGTGATGTTGAAATGCTTATGCGATGATTGAAAAAGAAACCAGAACTTTAGAAGTCTGCAGAACAGGGATTTGATTTTTGGGTA